CAACGGCTTCCAATGGCCAGTCCGAAAATGGATCCACGGATTGATACACATGTGTCGTCCCTGCAGGATCGAGGCTTTTGCCCAATGGAACTTGGTTGGTTTTGTTCTTGTCGTCCTGAGGCTTCCGTTCACCTGAAAGGCAGGGTCAAAAAAGGAGTGTAGCACTGCTCTAATTCCTCAGCGTGGGACGGTCAGCCGTGAAGGTCTATATGCAACCGCAGCGTCCTCTTCACATTCATCTTGTCAAGGCGTAACTACGAACAGCCTCTCATCAGCTTGGTCTACACGGAGGGGAACATTTGTGAATATCACTATTACCACAACTTTTCAATCCTTCATTTTTTTTACCTATGAGGAGTTAATGGAAGGCTCCGTAGGGTTTTGATAATGAATAGAACCTCAGTTTAGTTTATATGCACTGCCACAGCGTTTTTATGTGTTTGTTCCAGTCGCTCTCCCTCCTTGCGTAAGGTGTAACGCTTTTTTGAATATAATCCCCGGCAACTTGCACGGTCTCTACATGCATGTGATGGGAGCGTTGTTGGCACAAATCATTGATACCTAAGGCGCCATTCAGCGACTATGTATAACTATACAGTCGAAAGTTAGGTATTTATCGTGCAGGTCCAATTTGTATGTGACGAACTGACGATAAATTGTCAACTCTTGCACAAGACAAACCACTTCAGGGAGTTGGGGCCACACGAGGTCTACCCAGAGATCCTGAAGGAAACGTACTTTGTTCACGCTGGCAAAACATTTGTTCCTTGTGTTTCGTCAGTGGCTTGACGAAGGCCACCTTCCCTCGCCCCGGAAGGAAGCGATTGTCACGCCAACCTACAAAACCGGTGACCGACTACCGCCCGGAAGCTATAGGCCCACTAGCCTCACGAGCGTGCCGTGGAAGGTGATGGAACGCATTCTAAAGTGAGTCATGCTAGATCACCTTACTACCAATAACTTGCTATCTCCAGTTCAACACGTGTTTCTCTCAAACGGTTCCTGCGTGATGCACATGCTCATATTTATGGACAGCTTAACCTAATCCAAGGAGGAGGGATTCATATCGGATGCCATATTTTTCGACTTCTTCAAAGCATTTGACCGAGTCCCACATGGCCCGCTGCTCCAAGAACTCGGAATTCAAAGGAAAATCCCACTATGGATCAAGACGTCCCTATCGGACAGATCATTCCTAGTGAAAGTGGGCTCGACCTACTCGTCAGCACTGGTCTCCATTGGAGTTCCTCAAAGCTCCGTTCTGGGACCACTGCAGTTTCCGATGTACGTTAACAACCTTCAGATGTTATCGCAAGTCCACGTCTATTTTTCGCGGACGACTTGAAATCCTGTAGTTCCAATGCCGGTGCCATCAAAATGGATGTAGACGCTGCAAAGCAGTGGTCGATGGACCGGCACCTTCCCTGCACCTCGTGGTGTAGTGGGGACATGTTTGATCAGAGCCGGATACCAAACTCCTTTTTTTGCATCTGTTCTCGTGGTGTCTTCTAGCCCATGCTCACCATGCACGACAGACGCTGGCTGGGTCTCCTCCGAATGACATACGGACGCACTTTTTGTCATTCAAAGGAAGGTGCCTGAGGTGGTTTGTCCTGTACAAGAGTTGACGAACATCCTCCATGAAGATGAAGTCGTTTAGAAGTCGTTCTTAGTCACCCCTTGTCAAGGTTTGATGTGATGAGGCTGCTGGGACAGAATACAAACCAGCATAGTGTTTTCTGTAGGCTTTAGACACCACAATTGGATCGCTTTTGGGTCCCTTCTTTCTGCCCTTCAAAGAGAAGGCGGTTGGCTTATTTCTTCGGCGATGCCTCATATACTTAAAGTGCACAACATTGTTTTTCTGGGTGAGGTCTAGCCTCTTGGCCTGTTTTCGTATCCGTCTCGAAGGGACTGGACCTTACTGTGGTGCTGCGATTTGTGTACCTGGGCGACCCATCGAGCTGTCGATCGTCAGCAGAATCTGGCGACCAAAGGTGTCCCTTCCAAATTCGTATCCATTATAAGGGCAGTGTATGCGAGCTCCGGTGGGCGAGTACGAGTATACGGGAAGCTCTCGCCCGAGTTCACACGTTCAGTGGTGTAAGACAAGGCTGTACTCTCTCACCCTTCCCATTCAACTCTGTTATTGATATCCTGTTTGAAATTACTTTGTCTGCTCCTGAATCCTCGGGAGTCGAAATGCTCCCAGCACGTTCCCTCACAGACATTGAGTATGCGGACAATATTGCTCTCCTTGGTTCCGATTCTTCCCAAGTGCAAACAATTTTAAATAACCTAAATAACTCTGCCGTACGGTTTGGCTTGCGTTTCACACCTGCAAAGTGTAAAGTGTTGCTGCATGACTGCGTGGGATCAAACCCACACCTCATGCTTGCAGGTGAGCCAATCAACGTAGTGGATAAATTTGTTTTCCTGAGCAGTTGTGTAAGTTCCGCTGGACTGAGATTATTTCTCGAATCGGAAAGGCCAGGGCAGCTTTTGCTAACCTTCGACACCTATGGCGACGCAGTGACGTGAGTTGGTCTGTCAAGAAAAGAGTTTGCAATGCGATGGTGCGATCCATACTGCTATATGGATCAGAGACGTGGCTCCTACGTGCAGAGGACATATATGGAAGATGTTAGTGTTTGATCATCGGTGTCTCCGAACCATTGTTGAGGTCCGGTAGGGACATCAGATTAGTAACGCTGAGGTACGCCAGATGGTCCTCGGAAGAAAGAACTCTGCCACGATAAACGAGTTACTCACGTTTCATAGGTTGCGTTGGTTGGGACATGTACTCCGCATGCCAGAAGACCGCCTGTCTCACAGGGCTCTTTTTTCCCGGCCCTGTGCTGAGTGGAAGCGACCGATAGGTGGACACTGACAACGAAGTACGAAAACACTAACCAATGACGGCAGCTGCTGTCTCCCTGGATGGGGACCCCGGGACCCATCTTACCAATGGTCAATGACAATGGTAGAAATGGCCCAATCGTGCATTGAATGACGTTCGTGCATCAAAGCTATCGCCTCTAATGCTTAGCTACCCAATTCCCGAACAAACTGAATGTCTTTTGCTTCAGGGCCTCGTTTTACCTTCCTCATCCCCATTTTCCGGTGCTCCATACTGTAGCAGATGGAACCCATATGCCTGTGGCACACGGTTTTTAGCTGATAAATTGGATTGACTGAAATTGTGCGGTTCTCTGGGTCAATTAAGATCATTATAGAAAGAAAGAAAAGAAAGAAAGCGTTCAGCCGTAGCACCCTTCCGGTGCCTAGCTGCCATGCCACCCGAAGGATGCACGAGGGCTAGGATACTGCCAGGTTGCCCAAGCCTAGACAGGGGAAGTCGAGTGGCGGAGGTCGGATTAGAACCACGAACCTTCCGGTCAGTAAATTCGCGCTCTAACCACTTTGGCCATCTCGCCCCAAGCTTTATGCGGTATACGTTCTGAGGCTGAGGACAGGTTTCGCAAAGATTTGTCACGACTGATTCGGTCAGCAAGGAGGACGGATATTGTAATCTTGGCCCATGAATCCTCCTCCCGTAAAATCGTACGTGTTTGGTTGCACGGTAGAATTACAGATGCAGAAATACTCTATAACATGAGTCCAGGTTTGGTCGTAAAATCCCTTGGTGACGGTGTAGCACTGTATTCTGTGCGTTGTTTATTCATGATACTTACTCATCCTAACTGGTCGATTACTTTAGGATGTTTTCACTGGCTTCCATGTGATGACAGCTACCCAACTGCCCCTACTTAACGTCCCTCAATCTCCCCAGTTTATGGTATCATCTGTTATAAATGTACACCTTTGTCCATCATGGAAAACTTTCACTTTTTATTTGACTTTTCTGTCATTTAAATTTGCGTGAGTCATTTCAGACACCCCTTTATATAACCACTTAGATGCGACTAGATTTCGATGAAGCAACAAGCCGAACCTTGTTTCCACAGTTGCTGGATGCAACGTTGCATAAATGCTTCGTCCTCTGTTGGTACAGGTGTCACTTCTGTTTACAGTTTCAGTATGTTCCCTCTATGCATTCCCTTAGTAACACAGCGTCCTTGATCCCTGACAACTTACGCAATCTGGCCACCCCCATAGTTCAGTAGTGGCCAGTCCTCTTACCAAATCTGTGTTAATATCTAGGGGTAGCATGGCGTCATTCCGATGAGTCCCTCCGGGTACTGGAGTGATCGGCATTCAAAAGTGTTCCGATTCGCATGGGAACCAGAAAGTAAATTCGCAAACGCATTGATGCGTGCATTTCATGCTGCATTTTACATCCAATCGATAATTCGAACGGGGTTCTATGTGCCACGATAGTAAGGACGAGGTTAACTTTAATTGATATCAGGCATAGCGTTTCAAAGCAAACTCAAACATGTACAGAAAAGAGCTCACTAAACAAACTATCCCCCGGAGTCGTGGAATTCGATACACTCAACACTTTCGCATAAACATCACAGAGAGTTGCAGAAGTTCTCGGGTACCTGTATGTCTCTATTTTCTCGTACGTACAGCCCATCACTTTTTTATTCTCTGGAATTTATCACGGTCGTTCATAGACTTAGTCAGATCCACTTGAGGCAATGTACTAGACAAGCTGTTCCTCCTCAAAACCAATACATTTCGTGAAAAGGGTGAGTTTACTCAACAAATGCTGAGAGTAAGTGATAACACTGACGCAGCACCGCTGGAGAATGTTTTAACGGACTTTTCTACCGGAGCTGTACCTCCCCATTGGAATTGTGGCACAAAGTTGGTTCCAGGCATAACCAGATTGAACAGAATGCAAATATTGATACCGTGAAGACTGATAGCTAAATAAACCGGAGCCCGCTAGTTGAGATAGGAAAATGAATTTCGTGCCGTGGAGAGAAATAGGAACCTGAGTTAGTATTAGTTTGCGTTAGTAAAAAATGAATGAGTGCTTAACTGGATGGTCCTTGTAAGAATATCTCGTTTTCCAAACTTGTTAGGATCTAGTTTTCTAGATTATGATACAGAAAAGTAATAATTGTTCAGCTGAAACACCCTTTTGGTGTCTAGCTGCCATGCCATAGCAAGCGTGGTTAGTAAAAAATGAATGAGTGCTTAACTGGATGGTCCTTGTAAGAATATCTCGTTTTCCAAACTTGTTAGGATCTAGTTTTCTAGATTATGATACAGAAAAGTAATAATTGTTCAGCTGAAACACCCTTTTGGTGTCTAGCTGCCATGCCATCCGAAGCAAGCGTGAAGCATGACACACTGTCAATTTGTCCAAATGTAGACAAGAGTAGTCGAAGTGCTGGGGTTGGATTCGCCCCGTAACTGCTAAACTGTATCGAGCTCACTTATATTCGATATATATCGTTCTGTTATTCCCTTATTCCAGGTTCAGAGGACGATTCTGGTGTTCACCGAAATGCGCGGCGCAGTTTCTTGGCTGTGTGCACCTTCAGTGCAATTCTTACCGTGCCGATTCAAGAAATACTATCCATCGTGGAAAACACCATTCATTCTAGATGACTTTCAGACTTTTACACAGTCTTCGCCCAGCTCCTACGAAGAGTGGAATAGGGAGTGGAAAAGATCTGATCTTCCCAGGGCGCTACAGTCCTTCGACATATCTCGCCTTCCTTCGCATCTGAAAAAGCGCTTGCGACCAACCAAAGATTTCTTCGTTGAAAGTAGTCCGGTTGAGTCCACTCTGGACTATAAGCGACGTCTGTTTGGTGAATATGGCTTTATTAGTGGTGTTGATCCGTCCATTCTTTTTGTCGATCCGGAGGTAGCCAGTTTCGAAAGTTCCCTGGGACAAGCAACCGAACGTCCGATCGAGGAGGTTTTGGAAGAAGCTAAACAAGCGAAAGCTGCTTTCGATGAATTGGTGAACGAACGGTGAGTATTTCACTCCCTAATATATTTTTACCCTAGGATAAAAAACGTCAAATCCAACATGAAAAAAATGCCTGAGCTTATTGAGAAGCATGAATTTCAGAAATCAAAGCAACATTCAATCAGTGAGGTTGAAGAACAAAAGAGAAGAGCTATACTGGAAGAGGTACACTAATTACATACACTGAATCACTCATTATCAATTTTAAACAGGCGCGCGATCGTTTTGGTTACTACCTGGACCCGAGGGACCCAAAGTTTATCAAATTGAAGCAAGAAATCGAAGAACGCGAAAAACTTGCCAAGAAGCAACAGAAAAAGGCCAACCGATGATCATTCTGGGTACAAGAATCCAACTTGTACATACTAGACACGAAAAATCAGTTTAACCCCCAATTTCCTTGTCTTTTCATCCCAGCTTGAGGTTTTGTCCATTCAGAAACGGTATTTCGTTGTGAATAAAGCCCAGGTGACTAAAAGTTTACACGGAGTGGATCTTACTTCCATTAACAATCCTCTAGAACACAACCTTACGTGTCACAGTTAACGGATTCGCTGAGCCCCGTGCGACATGATTTCTGAACTCAAGTTGGCAACCTCAGTTTACTGGCTAAACCAGTGTTCCTAGGGAGTCAATCGCCAAGAGAATCTCCTGGCACATCCATCCACTAGTTTTCACTCGTGAACCCACTGTTTTTCTTGCCGACTTGTTTTTTTCAGCGCTTTTAGACTGCCTGTCGTTAAATGCTGTGGTGAACCAAACCACAGTACGTGTATGGTTCCCGAGTTAAGCTACATTGAAACAAACAACGTTGACATTCTGAGTAACGGGTGGGGCATATATCACAAGTTAGATTGCCGACATGATGTGACTCCAAAATTGACCAAAAAAGATGAAACAATTCGGTTTCATAGCTGCTGTTTGGTTGGACATTCTGGTCTATGGCAAAGTATAAGACATCGAAATAAACAAGAGGGAACCTACACTTAGGTGTTCTTCGTTATATAGTTGAGTCTGGGTGGGTGATCACTTGTGTTTTCCTCTTACTTTCCAGGCGGGATAACGACTGGTTCGCACCAGATACTTGAATTTCTGGAAATTTATCCTTAGTCTAAGATAAAAAGGTAACAGGCATCTGTGGACTGGTCGCACGCTCAAAGTGACTGTAAAATAGCTTAAACATCCACTTAAGATTTCGAAGGAAACGGCGGTCCTTAATTTTGTGCAAATAAGAATTCTCCTTTGGAAATAATGTCGGGAAGCTCTATGGATGATACGGCCGCCAGGCTTATGCCGTGGCGATTTTCACGAGGTAATCGGCTTTCTCGAAAATTGGTATCGCTGTTGACTTCATTCCCTGTGAAATCCGTCTTTGTTCCCTATGGTCCATGTTAAGTTGGTTATCATAGCTCTGTTGTCTCAACCCGTCTAGGCATGTTTCTCTGTGGTGTTTGCGATACATAGTGCGTATTTCTGTACTGGACTATCATGAGTTGTTTCTAGTATATCTGTCCCATGTAGCCAGTTGAATCGTCCTGTTTTCAGCCCATCAAGCAAGACAACGTTTTGTGACCACATTGTTAATCCTCCCTTTTCAATGGGTGCTCCAACTGAATATTGATGGTTTCCGGGGTCTTCATCTCCCAGATAGTTTCCCGGCACCCGACCCAATGGAACCGGTGTAATCGATTTTCCCATATTTCCAACTAGGTAGAACACAACATTCCTGTCAACTGCAGGCCGCCCGTTGGGAGGTGGTCGAAGTAGTTCCTTCTATGAAATATCTGTCAAGGGGATCAACCAACTATCTAGTTTTATACCTGACAACTAAACGAACCCCGACGAGAACTCCAGCTAATCACCGGTGACCCGTTTATTAGGTTCACGGTTTTTCATTACTTTTCAAAGGTTTATTTAAGCAGTGTCTCATCAGCACTTTCTGTCAGCACTGAGCTAGACCGTCTGCATTGTATCTGATGAACCAAAATGTTCATCTCCTTGTTTAGCAGAAAACCACCCAGTCGTCGTCGGACCAAGTGAATAAAGTACTGGGATTACGGACGGATCACCGGTTTTTTGTGAGTCGGTGGTTCCTCGATCGGTTTCGAACATTAATCAGTTTAGAACAAACCAAATACCTCTGCAATGTAGCTGGGTAAATGAAAACAGCAGAGCAACTAGTGAGCGATCAAATATACCAAGGTTATGCTTCGTACTCATCGAGCGCACCATTCACTGCACGCCTCACTGTACGTACGTGCAGCCACATACAAAATCCATTGAATACAACCGCGTTAAAAAAAACTACCCCCAAGGCTGCTGAGAACAGTCTACGACCGGTTTCATCGTAGGGTTCATCAAATAAGTGCAATCCATGAGTTCCCGTCAACCTTGTGTTCTAATTGAACCCAAGTTGTACGAAATTCAACAAATACACTCATTTGCACACTAATTTGGGTTTCACGGGTGACTTATCTGAAACCTAACTGAATCTCTCGTTTATGGTATTCAATCGGGCTTCAGGTGAGTATCCTGTGCCTGTGAAAACCGAATTAAATACAAATGAGGACAGCGGTAAAATTTTCCGTGTAGATCTCGTCCTGTAAATGGAACTAATCTATGCTGAAAAGTCAAGAAGCACTGTGCAGGTGCTTCGTCTTCAGTAGGAATTATCAGCGATGCATATCTCACGAAACTCCGGGGAGTTCCGTACCCGCAACCTCCCGGCTAGTAGTTTAAATATTTAACCGTTCGGCCACGAGCTCCTCATCATCAGTGTGATTAGATCGCACTCAGGCAGGATATGGCACTGCTCATCCTTCTGTCACAGAATACACGTTGTCCGTACGTGTTGACTGGCTTCTCGGCTGACGACTTTTTAAGTGGTTGCTTCATTCATCTTGTAAATTTACTCTCCCGTGGATTGAAATTGTTCTCGTGTTCGTCTACTAAACGCCACGTCTGACTCTAATAAGAGATTCCTGAATGAGCTACTGTGGCAGGTTGTACAACGACACCGACGACACTTAGAGAAACGGCCTCACAGTGTCGGCATTCATTTGCCGGCCTTTTTTATGTCGTATATTGTCGTCTGAGCACCCGCTGGTCTAGTAGGCAAAATCTGTTAAGATCACCGGTCTTTCTAAACTTCATCTACTTTCGTCTGACTACTCATACCTTCTAAAGTATCTGTTCATCGAATTTTCGGTCCGGTATGTACAGAACCGGTATCTCACGTTGAAGTGGTGTGAGACTACCAAGACTCTCAGCGCCGAATAACTGTCCCTGAATTGCACTCCAGGTGCTCCAAGGTCACAGTCTGAATGTTCTCTAAAGTACTTTTACCCCACTGCGCTATACTCTCGATGTGAGCCCGTTTGAGTCACTTGAAGGATACTTTTACTTCAATTGGAAAATGTTTGGGACCGGTAGTCGTTCACGCCTACACACTCTGTCTACATCGAAAATCCATCTGCAAATCTCACCAACTCCCAACATTTCACCGGAAATGGGGCAAGGAGGGTCGCCCACTGAATACCTCGGATAGACAGAGCAAAGCCGAGCTTGCTAAACGACTCAGAGTTTGCACACTAATATCTACAGTTTTTTGCGTCCTCCAAATCAACTGCATTAACTCTGAAGGTTTCTTCATAGCGCCACAATCTTGAGTCGACCATGTGATCCTTTTTACATCTGTAAGCTCTCGAACTGAGGAGGCTGTTGTCTGTTAATTTCGACCACGAACTTCGTACTGCTTTCAGTGAATTAAATAAAGCAATCTTCCCAGAAAGTCTCCGATACAACTGCGACCCTTTGTTCCTGTGCGGCTAATGCACGCTGTCGCGACTGCAGAGATTCATGCAGCCCTTGCGGCACGTTCACTCATCGATGGCTTTAGTTTGAGTACAAATTCATACATTCGATCTAGGACGGGGAGGACGGAGTATAAGAATGCAGCTTGTGTACTTACTGGAGACTGATGCAAGTGAGGCGGATGCCACCGTTTTTACGCCAGAAAGCCTGATCGACCCGAAACCAATTGGACTAAAAGTCGTGAGGCAAATGAAGTGAAGGCGTGTGTGTGGGTTCGTCTATCTGAAGATGTAATGCAAATCTTGTGTACGCCATGGGTTGTTACTGGGTTTTTATTTCGTGCCAGGTACCCACGTCGAGTCCCCGACTGGAAACACCTTTCTTGGTTGATATACCCGCTCCCGCGTGATAGATTTATTCCAGTTGATTTGATCACAAGATAACTGTCGTGACTTTGGACATTCATCAAGAAAAGTTGTTGGTTCGCCCCTGAGGACTCTCATTTGATTGTGCAAGATCAGTGCACTTCTGTCAGTGTTCAAACGATCTTCCTGGATGCAGTTCTGCATTAGCCGACTCGAAATCGGTTCGTCTGTGGGTTCTATCCCGTGGACATTGTCTGCAGTGCGCAAACAAATGAAGCTCTGACTAGATGACCGTGACTTGTTTCGACCTTCAGTTTTGCACTGGAAGAATGGTACTGTTGATGTACAGGCTCCAAACCGGATTCGGACAGACACTTGCTGGTCGTGTTGCCCTGTAATTTACTGTGTCGCCTCCTATCCTTATAGCAGTACCATCCTGAATGACAGTCTACGAAATTTAGAAGCGTTCAGGCTTTTTTATTTGAGCAAAACTCTTCACCATGTTATAACTATTTATCTCTTAAATCTGGCTCAGTCACGGGTGCCCAAGTGTTCCAACTATTAACAGATAGGCTGCGAGTTCGAAGCATCCAGGAAGCTCGTAGGATGCGCACTAGTGACCGAGGCTTGCGTCTAAATGGATAGACCGGTCCACCCTAAGAGGTGCCTGCTGACTAGGTAGAGGCGTGTTGAAGTTTTTAGGTGGTCACGTCGACGAATAGCCCACTCCTAGTCTTAAAACACCACGGATATCGAAAGAACCACTGTTCACTCACCGATAAGTAGAAAATTTGTGGCACTTAATCTCCGAAGCTCAGAGGTTAATGCTGTGTTTGAGGCTGAAAAGTGTTAATATATACTGTTCTGGTGGGTATGCGTTCCGCCTCGTGCGCTTTGGTTCATCGGAATTTAACTCCGATTCTGGCAGTAAACTAAATAAGTGGGTTTGTGGAAGTCACTCCGGTCCATACTACCTCCTACTTGGAGGAAGAGATTATGTGTTGCAAGGTCAATAAGCCCACTTACAAAGATACCGTAACTTCATCTTACCATATCCTACTGCGATTAACCGGTTCGAAGGACAGTTGATTCCACTGGAGTAATCACCATGTGTATACACGTATATTCTGAATATTGTTCCTCTCATTGAAGGG